CAATGTGTAGAGAAGATTGTACAATAGGCATCTGGCTTTAAATGTGGTAAATAAAGTGATTGGATACGTATGTACACCATACTGTAGTTTGCTGATTTATCAGATCCAAAAATCAATAACTAGACATCACTTTGTTTGAAGCATTTAAAAGGAAATTTCTTTTCTTACAATTTTCTGGAAATAATTTTTTTTCCTTTCATATAATTTGAAATAATACACTATAGTTGCTTGTGTTTCACAGACAAACATCTGGAATTAGCATTACGTGTATTGTAAATATTCTGACCACTGGTTCACTGTGGAATAAAACAACCTTTTGTCTCCAGGATACGAATACTGTTTGCCAAACTTCAGATTTAAGTTATGGTAATAGTAGGCATTTTGTAATGTAATAGATCTGGAATTTGTCTTCCATCATATCAGTCTAAAAGTTATTAAAACTTCAGTGAAATATTATTTTGTTTTATAGCAAAATAAATTGGAAACTTAAAAAGGTAAAAACAAATAGTTGGGAGTTTTTTTATCTTGCTGCTGAAGTTGAGCAGAAAAATAATACTAAGTTTTATTTAACGTGACTTTTACCGGTAGAGGAAGCAGATATTGTAGGACAGGCTGGACCAGGAATTGTAAGATGTGGTGAAGGAGGAAACAGATGTAGTACAGTATTGCCAAGTGCCACTCTCATTTTGTACCATGCTAGTCATATGCCTTGCTTTATAACTGCTTTAGGTGTCTACTGTACGTAGTGTGTTATTGTAGGTAAACCAGAATGGAAATGAAGACTCTTTGAATTATCTTACAATACAGGTAAATGCATTTACAAATTAAAAGATATTCATTGAAAGTAACTTGCTTTCTGAAAATAGGGGCCATATTTTGATGTTTCAATGTCATTTGCAGTTCTGTTTTGGAGTTTAAATTAAAGACTGTTTCATTATCCAAAGTATGGAAATTATGATGAAAAATAAATGAAAAATGTTCTGACGTATAATGTGTGGTTGTTATATGATGTACACGAATGTCAGTCTCCAGCAATCCTGTAATGAAGGTCCTTGTACTGTAGTGTGATGCTGTACATGTATAATTACATACTAACCAAGTGCTTATTGTTATTAGCTAATTACCTTATGAGTAACCTCTTACAAAAATATGTAGAAAAGAATTTTTACTTTTGAGTAATGTAGAGATGACTACAAATTATACTATAAGTTTTTCTTGGGGAGCTAACTATGCTGGATTATTTTGAGATAACTGTCTTTACTGCATTTGAAGACTTTACTTGTAAGATGGCAAAAGTAGCCACCTGCATCCAAACTATATTTCTCTTAAAATTATGAATCTTGAAAAGTTGTTCAAATGTGTGTTAACACATACAGTACCCAAGTTCCTGGTTTATACCATATAAGGAAAGAGCCAAGTATTAACATTTTGTTGAATTCAAAGTTTTAATTGTTTTTTGGCTTGAAATATTTGATGAGGTAGAGCTTGAGTGCAGATGGGAAGGTAAAGGTTGGTACTGTACTGTACAGTATTGTGGATGCTGATGACTAGTCAAAAACATTGTCTCGTTGTACATGCTCTGTGTATGCACAGTCTCTCTTACTCTTCAATTATTATCATAATGACTAGCAGTGAGTAAATACAATGTAAGAATATTATTATAGTAATTGCGTATGGGGAAGTATTTAAAGAATTTTTTCTATACAGTGTGAGGCACAGTTACTGGTTGTAAATCTTTAGGTAAAGGTTTGATGTGAAAAGGAATTGTGACTTAATAAGCCAAGACCATATTTTTGTATATTTTCTACAATTATCATTTATTGTTTTCATATATTATACAGTTGTCTTAATTGTATAGATTAATATTATACACTATTTCTGTTTTATTCATCTACTCATGCTTATGGGAATGTTTTAATTTGTGAAGTAATGGATACTGACAAGGTAACTAAGTTTTTATTACATTATACAGTAATATTATGTTGCTCTGTAATTTATAATGATAGGTGTCGAGTCAAGCTTTTAGGCCCAATATATTGTGGTCACATATATAATATACAGTATAATACAATAAATCCCCCAGTTTCCACAGGGGTTACACTTACAGAACCCTGTGAGTATTGATTCCAGAGTAATCAAAGTAGGATAGAGGTGGGAGGGACACCTTCAGAGTGCCATATTACCAGCCCCAAACTATTATGTAGTGTATAACAATACAACTGTAAGTACCCAGTTACAGTAAAACTTTTGAATTTTCAGACTATCTGTTGGGAATTTTTAAGTGTGAATGATAATTGGCCAAAAAATCTGACATCTTGGGTAGAGTTGGGAAGCCATGGCACGTGTGTGGACAGATTTTGTTCAAGTACACTCAATTGTTAGCACTTGTTATGTACACATCATACACATGCCCCATTACATTTTCTCATATTTTCTTTATTCTGTGATATTATTAGAATGATGCTAGTTTATATGTTGGTAAAGTAAAGTGAAAAGATTAAATATTGTACAGTAAAAAAATGTGTGAGAAATAAGCAAGCTAGATTTCCCAGTAATCTGGGAGATGAAGGGAATCTCTCACCTCCACATTGGCATGAGAGTCTATCAGTGGCCTGGGCTGATCATACTACCTTCCTAGATCAACCAATGATAGCACATGACACTTCACCACCACCTGGCACAGTCAGCCATGGTGTGTAGGAGCCTACATTACAGAAACAGTTTTGTTCAATTTATTTTTGTTAATTTTTTCTCCAGGGGCTACAATTATTTATGTTTTCTGCACATGCTATTTAAATGTTCATCTTAATCTCTGATGATATTCGTGGTAGAGAAAACTATCTTCAGAAAATAGTGAACTTGCACATCATTTTATTGTATTTTTTTGCCTTAAAACTCCCACCATCATTCATGGTATTGTTTAGTACAGTACAATACTGTTAAACTGTTTAAAGGGAAATATAAAAATGAAAGTAATGGTTTTCAGTGATTTCTGTTGGTACTATACACTATATTATCATCAACACAGACTTGGAAACTGTGGAAATTGAAGGTTTACTGATATACAGTATATATATACCATACATGAATACTTTACAGCAACTTATAACTTAAGTTTAACTGCAATAAATTATCAAAAGTTTTCCCAAGCAATTCTGGTTACTATATACTGTATAGTACAGTACTCTAGCTGTATTTAGTAATAATATATATACTGTACTGTATATTGCAAAATCAATGCAAATATAAAAAGACTTGATTTATGATATCATTTCATATATTTCTATGTACTGGAATGATTTGTCATGTTCTATGTATCATTGATTTGCTCATGGATATGAAGCTCATCTTTTGTGTATTTTTATAAACTGTAATGGATTACTATAAAATTTTGTATATTTTGAAAATTCAAAGTCCCATAATCCATTAAAATAAATATAAATGGATAATTGTCTTTGTTTCTACCAAGTTACATGTTAAGAACAGAACTCTCATCTCATCTCATCACACAGCCATTGACTTATGCAGAATCCCTGCTACAATCCCTGACTTTTTTCTGCACACTTTATATCTTGTACCCAACCACTTTGTTCAGCATGGTGTACTGTACAGTTGCCAGCAAAAGTTCTCCCACAGCCCTGTGTAGCAAGTTGTGGGAGGACTTTTGCTGGCAACAGTCCTACAGTATTGATCTCCTTTCATCCCATCCAAAAGTACAGCAGTGATGCCTCTTAAGTATTTTATGGACTACTGTACAGTACATGGAGAGGAAAGTCTGTTATATCAAGGGTCTATTAAGTGTGAAACCTCTGTCTAATGAACTATATAGAGGTGAATGTCCATTATATCGAGGGTCGTTAGATGTGAAAACCCCCAAATACCGGATTATATAGAGAAAAAAATCCATTATATGAAGGTTTCACTGGACTTCATCTTTTACTTAACTATGTTTTCCAGTTCAGTATTCCCAAATGCTATTCTTTTTATTTTTTATCGTTGATTCTCTTAAATTTCACCAACCCTTGAGAAAATCACTATAATTACAGTTACTATTACAAACCTATTTCACCAATACAATCAAGGATGGGTTACAACTTTCCAAGTCACTTCCTCAAGTGACTCCAATATACACTGTACAGTACTTGTACAGTATGTTAATTCAATTTATGAGGATTTGTTATTTTCTTTGTAAAAATTTAACACCTTTCTTCAGTGTCTTGTTAGTTTTGTTATTATGTTTTTTAGAATTATTATTTAGTTTTGTGGAAAAAGACCAGTTGTGGCAAATGAAACTCATTCCAAACTCTCAGGTTATGTCAACAATCACAACATCTGATTTTGGTGCAAAAGAAAACCTTCAGCAGTTCCACTGACAACTTGTGAGATGAGAAACCCCAGCACAGTACACCGAAAGTTGCCCGGGTGATAATACCAGCCACAGGTCCCGAGTCTGTGATTACGTCAAATACTACTGCACACAATTTTCTACTCGAGTGGTGGCTGATAGTACTTCAGAGAAAGTGTACAGTACTTATACATTTAAGGTGAGCCCTTAAAGACACAGTTATACTTCTTGTCAAGTGTTCTGTTTAATCTAGATTTTTACAGAAAAGGGGAAACTTTATTTTACACCAGCACAATATTCCTAGTGATCAGTGATGTGAAACAAAGTTTTTGTTATTGTGAATCAATATTTTAATACAAAAAAATTATTTTAGTTGTTTTCCACTTGTGACAGTTGTCAAAATATCAACAAAGTGGTGCCCCTAATTAGTAAACACTAATAAGAGTTTAGACCCTCTGTGCCGTGAGTATCATTCAGCTTCAGCAACAAGGCTGATCTCCACCTACTAAACACAAGAAAGTCAACATTACTGGCCAGCCTGTGGAATCGCCGGTGACAAAGCACAGAGAAATCTTCCCTACTACTGTACAATGGGATTTGAAAACAATTGCTATCATCATCATCAAACAGGAAGCACCAAATTAAAAACTTTTAATCATATATGAATTAGTTTATTTACTTTTACAACAATGTCAAATAAGACAACCTAACCTTACTGGTCTTCTGTTGTACTTTACATTTCATTAAATATTTCAAACTAAGCAACCTAAAAGTCTCATTTGTATCTGACAAAAGAAAACAAAGACAAACCACTGAAGTGATCATTGGCTACACTAAGCTAATGTGAAGGATGAGAGAGAACCAGTAGCAGCAATAAACTGGTGAAAATAACTTCTAAGAAAAATGACTGAGTTAGACAAAAGAGTTATTCTTGCAGCCAAAAACTAATTTTTGGGTGGTGGAGGGGGTGGTACTCCAGTTGAAGGTGGAGGAGGTGGAACAGGATTAAATGGTGGTGGTGGAGGCGGGGGGCCTCCTGGGGGAGGTGGTGGACCACGCATTCCTGGAGGTGGACCCATGCCAGGTGGCCCTGGAGGTGGTCGTAAAGGACCATGTGGTCCATGATGACCCGGTGGGCCAGGAGGTGGTGGCATCATGGGCCTCATGGGAGGCCTTATTGGGGGTGGGGGAGGCATTCCAGGTGGAGGTGGCATGCCTGGAGGTGGAGGGCCTGGTGGCATCATGGGTGGGCGTGGTGGTAAACCAGGTGGAGGAGGCATGCCTGGGGGACCTGGAGGACCAGGTGGTCCAACTCCCGATAGGGGTGGAGGTGCTGGAGGAACCATTTTGGCTTTGGGGTCAATTTTGAAGGCAAACTGCAAAAAGAACTGTTTAGTTTCCTTATTCCATGTCGTCCAAGACTTATCTACTTCTCGACTGGGTACCTTGAAGGCTATAGTCTCGTAAGGCTCGGCTGCAAACAAGAGGTACTGCCACTTACGATCTGGAGGTTCTACCTTCTGTTCGTAAGCAGACATAAAGCGGTGACGGGGAGCAACATTGTCTGCAATTTCTGGATAATCAATTTGAAAGAGTAAACTCTGCTGGCCGGTCTCGGGGTCTCTCTGTTTAGTAACGCGATAACCAGGACGGCCAATCTTGACAAACTTCTTCATCTCAACTCGAGGTTTCTCAGGTGCCGGTTGTGCTGGTGATTCTTTAGCCTCTTTTGCAGCACGTCTGGCCAGATTGGTCTGATGCTTCTTACCCTGAGTGTGAGCCAAGTAACTTCCCTCATTATTGTGAAGAGTGAGACACAATTTACATTCATATGATCCCAAATGATTTTTCATAAAATATGGATCCTTGTTTAGATCGATTGTCTCCAGGGCTAGCTGACGCAGTCGCTCTCGACGATCTCTGTTGCTCTCCGACCATGACGCCTGGCCTCCGCCTCCCGTCTTCCCTCCAGCTCGGTGCTGGAAGTCCATCTTGAAGTTTTATTTATTGCTGAAAAGAAAAAGACATAAATATTGTGCAATTTATTTTTGGCATATATATTCTTGCTAGCCTCTCCCTGCTATTCTGCAGGGTAGCCGGCATCAAAAACGCAACTTCCATTACACCTACCAGTGCAGTACAGGGGGTTCCCAACTAACGAACGTTCAGTCTTACGAATCTTTGAAAACCATAAAACTATGAAAATTTTACCTTATTCATGTTTTAGGTGTTTAGTATGTGTTGTTGTATTCAGTTTTTAGTATGTGTTGCTGTATTCGGTATTCAGGTGAGGGATTCATAAACTCTAAAGCGATTCTTATCATTTTTATAAGTTAGGAAATGTTAGGTCTGGTTTTCAAAGGTTTGGTGTTATTTTTAGTGTTTTACCCCACACTTTCTCTCGACTTCAAAGCCGTGCCCACTTTAAACAAGTAATATTGTTGGCAATTTTATCTATTAAAATATTCGAAAAATATACATTTCTGACAGAAATGCCATAGAAGAAAAGTGTCTTAGAATAGTCTGAACTGTGCAAAATAAATGCAAAATGCCGCCAGAGTCACGGTCACATATCACTCACGTTGTTCGCAGGTAATGGACGACTAAACCATCAGAGCAGAGTACATTCATGGTAAAACAGCGTTAGTAGGAACTTTGCTGGTCACGGCAAAATATCCACTGCCTAAACTATAAGCAGGAAAGGGGGTGACAATACAAGTCTGTAAGCATCTCATTCTCAGAGAACATTACTCAATCGAGTGTTCATCAGATTCCTTGGTTGCTGTAATCTGCAATTTTACCTATACCTGAAGCTGGTGGATACCTACTCCACTAGGGGTCACAGCTTAAGATTGAAGAAGCCACACACACTTGCCCACAGTGTGTAACAAAGACGTGATAAACCGCCCAAGCAGCTAACAGACTGATCAGTAGCTAAGAGGATCAAGTTATTCTCTGTTGAGTGTTGTGCATTACAAGCTGGGCACACACACACACACACACACACACACACACCTCTACCACAACAAACAATGAGGAAATATCTAAATTAACTTAGGAAACACAAACCTTAACTCACAGTAGGGTATTATTTTACTTTAGGACATAGCACACCCGAAAGTTATAAACTACTGAAACATTTAGACCTCATTATTCTGAGCATTTTGAACCCCCATATATACATGGAGGAAATGGATAATAGCGACACAATTGAATTTAATTGATTTTAATTAGCTTTCAGTCTTCGTCTGTGAGTAGATGTTATCGGCACATCACGAATGAGCAATATTGACTGATATCATCCAGTTGTAACCAATGATGTATCAATATCAACACGCGAATTTTTTTCGACCAATCACATTTGATTTTTTTCAAAGGAAGCAACCTGGGTAACTTCACTGACCAGTCTGACAATGACCGTGGTGTAGGTTGGCTGTCATTTGTGCTCCTACGACCATTTTAAGTTTATTGCCGAGTTTTACGAGAAAGACGATCATTCTATCCAATTCTTGCATATCCCTGGTCCTTCCACTTCTAACTAATGTATTGTACTTTTGGACATGGCGCGCCCCAGAAGTCTTTAACTACTGAAATATTTAGGTTAGTTTAAGCTAGGGGGACGGAGCCCCCCCCCCGGTTAGGGGTCAAGTTAGGTTAGATGACTCGTTTTCGTTTTCTCCTCCACCTAAAACACCCGATTTCCTAGACTCTCCCCATTATTATTATAATTGTGGGGGGGAGGGGGGAGGAATGAGCAATTTTCCGCCAAAAATTAAGGTCAGGTTTGTTTCAAACACCACAATACACTGGGAAATATAATGGTCAACCCCTTGGGACTCATGTTCCAAAGTAAAAATTTCCCCACAGTAGAAGCTATATGTAAGTAGCACACGCCTCTATGGTAGAAATACAAACTATATACAAAATGAACTTACTGCTCGCATGAGGCAGCCACCAGACACTATACCTTCACCACTCTACAATGAACTAAAAGAACATGTAAATAAACAAAAATTAGCTCGGTAGATGTGAATATACATTTCAGTTATTTTGATGAGAATATTTGTTAAAATTTGTCTGAAATTGTTTGAGTAAGATACAGTCATTAGTAACTTGATTAATAATGATGGTTAGTTATGAACGCCGCCACTCAACACCGAACCCAGCCGAGCCAAGTTCAGACAACACAGCCATAGCTCCTCAGTAAATTGCCTATTTCTCAAACTGTCACTATATTTATATAATTTATAATTAGACTAATATAAGATTAAACATTATTAAAAAAAATCCTGGATGAGAGAGATATTGAACTTATAATTACCCCAATGTGTATAGAAGCTACATCTTTAATCCCCGAACTGCCGTGGTCGGTCACGTCTGTTGGTGAGCCAGTGGGTTTAGTTTTGTATATATATTCACCAATCAGAGAGTTCAATTTACTGTGTATCATATACTGGGTAGTATCCTTGTTTTTATTTCTCACCAAATTTATAATGTTACATGTGTCTTGTTCACGCGCTGAATCAAACGTATGCGACGATTTTACGGAATATCTGTCTATCTCTTCTCCAGTTGCAATATTAAGTCTCTAAAATACAAAATCGATATTATAACCAAGGAATTTTACTATTATAAAAAGTGACTGAGTTGTTAGTGATGTGTAATGATGGCAAATTGCCCGTCAAGGTCGTTTAAGCACGGTCTGAAAGGTTCCCCCCCCCAAAAAAAGAATTAAACAAAGAGAAAGAACCCAGACTACCATTAATATTCATGTTTTGAGGACATATTGAAAACTTCTGTGTGTAAATTGTAATTTCTTGATATATTTTTTTATATTTTCTTGTGAAAACCTGAATGTGGAGGGTAGTTGATATTGGTTGAATATTGCTTTTTCCTTGATATTTCCTGAAAAAAAAAACCCACGATATAAAGCTTCAAATACTATAGATAATGTCGAGTGTATCCTAGTGAATAATGTAGGAGAGAAGTAAAGATGACTGTCAACACGTCACTCAGTAGTCAGTACCCGGGCAATAACCGACCACAATAGTGACTAAGCTGCGTTGCAATCCTCAACCTTTTGTTGTCTCGTAAATGCCGCTGGACTCTTTAAATATACCTGGTATTAAGACAGATTTAAGGAGAATATACATAGATCTGGATAATTTGAGTTAGAAGTTGAGCGAGGGATAATGTCCAGCGGTGTGTACAAGTTGAGGTGTAACCTGTTTGGACACTCTAAAGATGTGAGAGCCGTAGCCACCACCCAGGATGGTCTTATCGTCACAGCCTCCAGGGACACCACCGCCAAACTCTGGGCTCCTGTTAATAATGGGTGAGCTGGAGCATTTTAATTTCTGGGTAAATATTTGGTTATATTTCATTGTCCACCCATCATCTTTTTTCACATGAAAAATATAATTTTTCGCTAGTTTTAGATGATTCTGACATTTATCTTTGGGCAAATCACTTTCTTTTGTTTTTCTTTCTTTAGTTAGGTTAGGTTGGTTGGTTGGTTCCTTTGGTAAGAGAATAAGTTAGGTTGGTTGGTTTTTTTGGTATAAGAATAGGTTATTTTTGGTGTATTACTCAAATCTGACCTTCGTTTTTTGTGCAAATCAAAAATTTAAAAAACAAATAGAAGGTATATTTTTACATTAGGGCATGAGTCCCTAGGGGTTGACCAATTTCTTTTTCCAATGTAATTTGGTGTTTTAAACGAATCTGACATTCATTTTGGGCGGAAATTCTCGTTTTTGCCCAAATAATAATAATTGGGGAGAGCCTGGGAAATCGGGGTGTTTAGGTGGGGGAGAAAACAAAAACGAGTCATCTCACCTAACCTAACCTAACCTAACTCCTAGCCAGGGGCTCTGCTCCCGGACCCCTGGTAGGCCTAACCTTACCCCTACCCGGGGGCGGTAGTCCATGCTTAAACTAACCTAAGTGTTTCAGAGTTTAAAAACTTTGGGGCGCGCCATGTCCGAAAGTACAATACCTTAGTTAGAAGTGGAAGGACCAGGGATATGCAAGAATTGGATAGAATGATCGTCTTTCTCGTAAAACTCGGCAATAAACTTAAAATAGTTGTAGGAGCACAAATGACAACCAACCTACACCACGGCCATTGTCAGACTGGTCAGTGAAGTTACCCAGGTTGCTTCCTTTGAAAAAAATCAAATGTGATTGGTAAAAAAAAATTCGCGTGAAGATATCGATACCTCATTGGTCACGACTGGATGACGTCAGTCAACATTGCGCATGCGTGATGCGCCAATAACACTATCTCACAAATGAAGACTGAAAACTAATTAAAATCAATTAACTTCAATTGTGTCGCTATTATCCATTTCCTCCATGTATATATGGGGGTTCAAAATGCTCAGAATAGCGAGATCTAAATATTTCAGTAGTTTATTACTTTCTTGGCGCCATGTCCGAAAGTAAAATAATACCAAAATCAATATTTTCATTTTAACTGCTAATTTGCAAAAAAATAGAGATCAGATTTGAGTAAAACACACCAAAAATTACCTATTCTCATACCATTGGAACCAATCAACCTAACCTAACCTATTCTCGTACCAAAGGAACCAACCAGCCAACCTAACCTAACAAAAAAAAAGTGGTTTTCCCCAAAATAAATGTCAGAATCATCTAAAACAGCAAGAAAAGGTGAAAAAATATATTTTTCATGTGAAAAAAGGTGATGGGTGGACAACAAAAAATAACAATATATTTATTCAGTCGAGTCTGCCATCAGACACAGTGGTTCAGTACCGGTATACAGTATAAACAATGGTAAACGGTAAGGTATTTAATTTATTTTCGGTCAAGGTCTACAAAACAGCTATCACCAGAAGGAAATGTGCAATTTGGTTAAAAATTTTTACACTATTAACATGATATTAAACACAGAAATGGAAAAGACAATGCATAGAACCTACTAGAACCTAGAAGAAACTGACTTGACACACCCAATCTATTAGGTCAGGTTCTATACATTATCATGTTCATTTTTGTGTTTAAAATTATGCTAATAGAGTGTACAAAAAATAAACCAAATCGTGCCGGTATATATGTAATTCTAAACTTAATAAAGATGCATACAGTAATTATTTTATTAAAAGGATCGGGAGTAATGGAACACAATTTATATGGGTGGAGAGGAATTCGGTGAAGCCGGACTGACTTATGGTAAGAAAATGATTTTGCCGTTTGAAATGCACCTAGAGACTTATTTTCAATGCCATAACATCAGTGTTCTCTGTGTTTTTACCCCGTAATTTCCCTCATCTTTCATGCCCTGCCCACAGGAATTTAAAATTGTAGGATAGAGTAAATAAAAAAATTCATAAAAAATACTTAAAATTAAAATAGAAAGTTGTCGTTTCTTTTAATATACTTAATATCGTCAAAACAATAAGTAAAGCAAAGGTAAAGAAAATCAACAAACAACGTCTAGTGATAGCTGTGCTGTAAACATTTACTTTATTTTCATTTATTAAGTGACCATTTATGAGCTTGCTAACATTTTTTGTAATTGGTCTATTCTTTGTTATACGGTGGTCCCTCGGTTAACGAGCGCCTCTGTTAACGAGATTTCGGTTAACGATTTACCTTCCATAAGATTCTTAACTTCGGTTAACGAGCAATCCCTCGATTAACGAGTTTTTTACGAGCGGACCTCAACATGTTTTCGTTTGCATTTGGCGGTCCACCAGCTGTAGTATTAGTCCGCCAATACAGTAATCGATTTTAGGGCTTAAATTCCTTACTATTTCAGTAAATATCAAGAAGTTTATACTATTCAATAATTTTAAAAGTTTAATATTAACTTTTTTAGTCATTTTAACAATTATTGAACATAATTGAAGGTAAAGAAACTAGTTTCTGGCGTGCCATCCAGCCTGTTAACACACCAGACAGGCGTTAGTCTCTCTGTTTTCAGTGGAGGTAACATCTTGCTTGAGACTCTTCAACTAAACGCTTTTTTTCTGTGTTTCCAAGCAAATTATTGGTCATTTTGAAATATATTTTACATATTGACAATATATAATGCAGTGCAGTGTTGATTTAAAGAAAATAATCTTGAAATACACCAAGAGAACTAAAATTTTATGGGTGAAATGGTGCCATGGGGTGACTTCTCTTCCACCCCAATGCCTTCTCTTCTTCCTTCTCCTCCACCCCCATTCTAATTCCCATCATCATCATCCAGGAGCTTTCTACATACACACCTCAGAGTAAGTGTACTTTTCTACCTTTTTTGTTGATTTTAGGCAATTTTCGGTGTGCTGGAACCAATTACCCAAAAACCCATTGAAACAATGGTTTCGGTTAACGAGCAACCTGCTGGAACGGATTGTGCTCGTTAACCGAGGGACCACTGTATTGGATAATGATTCGTTTTATGCCAAAGTGGATTTCTTATTACTGTATTAAAAACTTAGTGGATATTTTTCCGTGGCCAGCTACCGTAAGTTCCTATTGTTGCTATTTGATAAATATTCATCCATTGGCTGTCTCCAGGTGTATTATGGTGTGTTTTATTCAAATCTGACCTTCATTTCTTGTGCAAATTAGCGGTTTTTAAAAAAAGAAAAATATTCATGTTCATTTGAAACCAAAACTGCTAATTTGCACCAAAATGACAGCCAGGTTTGAGTAAACCACACGATAAAAAAAAAAAAAAAACCTAACTTAACCATTTTTTGGGAGCTTACCTGCTACTTTGGTGGAGGATACAGCTGGGCAATCTGGTATGCTTATGGTTACAGACAAAGGAATTTCTGTCTTTTAAGTAAAAAACTTCACACTTAGGACACAGTCTTGATGTTGGTAGGACACCGTGATCTTTTAATACAGTGTATCTGGATTGCTTCACTATGGGCGTGTGGCGTCTCTGTAACAAAGCGTGTTCGGCATCCGGGCCTTCGATGTAGAGCGGCAGAAATTGGACAGTGATTACATAAGTTCGTCAAGATCGTCTTAGTGAGGTGAAAGTGTAAATCGATGTCGGACTTTTCATGCTAGACACGATTGTATTTTTGAAAACTCAATTTCCACCGAGTTGGAGGTACAGCCAGGGTCACAGGCCTATAACCACACAATCACTGCCACATGACAAAGCTTTTATTTTATTTTATTTTTTAGGGTGTTGTGGTCACGGCTGTGATAAAGGCCAACCAGGGAGTGTAGTACTGTGCCTTCAGTTAAATCAGTTCATAGTTGTCATCAGTGAATGCAGAAGAGACTATAATAACTTAAAGTGAATACATATTGGCAATCGAGCTGGTAAGGACAACTGCCAGCCTATTCGTGTCATAGGTGCCACAGAGACTTTAAATTTTATTTTGTTTGTGTGCTTGCTCAAGGACTGAATCTGTGTTTATAATACACCACTCACAGGGAGATACAGTGTACACAGTGATAGTTCATAGTGTCATCAGTGACCGCTGAAGTTGTAAATAACTTAAAGTGAGCGCTCACTAGCAAGCAAGCTGGAAAGGCACCGTGCCAGCTGAAACCAAGTCGTGTCATAGGTGCCACAGAGACTTTAAATTTTATTTTATGTTGATTGTGTGCTTGCTCAAGGACTGAAACTGTGCCTACAATACACCATTCACAGGGAGATACAGTGTACGCAGTCGCAGACGACAACTCCATAGGCAACAGAGAGTAGCTAAGTACTTTTTTCTCTCTTTATTTTCTTTGAAATAGGTGTAGATCTATACACAGTCTGCACCCCCCCCCCACAACAACAACAACCATGAGTTTGGTATGTGATTACTGCAGGGAGACGTCGGATATGGAGGATGCAGGCCTAACTAATGCAACGTTTAGGAAGTTACTAACTGCCGTAAAGCTTGATGGCTGTTGCTGGTATTGCCCTGGCTGCATAGTCAAGGTGAATGAAGCGATTGCAATCCATAAGGGAACGAGTTCTCTAGGGACGAAAATAGATGAAGCAGGAGCCCTGCTGGTTGACAAACTGGAGCAAGTTGAGAAAGAGATCCTTGCTAAGACTGAGGAAGTAGCTAATAGAATGGAGGTGGTTGCTAAGAGGAGCTATGCGGACGTATTAGGAGGGCCACGGGTGGGGGGGGCGGAGAGTAATGCAGAATCAGTACAGGTTCTACAGCAGATTGGGACTCTGAAAAAGTGTGTCGAAGAAATGAAAATTAACGGACCTACTGTTAGGGGAGAGGAGGAACACCAGGAACGGCTCCAGCGCAGGAACAATGTAATAGTTTTTGGAGTCCCAGAGAGCCAGGCAGAGGGAACTGTGAGTAAGGAAACACACGACAAGGTGCTGTTTCAAAATATTTGCAC